GGGGGGGGGGGGGGGGGGGGGGGGGGGGGGGGGGGGCGTCCGTTTGCTGGACGGGCCACATCCAGATGAGCGAATCGGATTATTTCACTGATAAGAGTCAATGGAACTCGCTTGATTGCTGCAGCCACCGAGCGGATCCCCTCTGACACCTGCCTCGCCTCCCCTCCGGTGCCTCCTTGCCTCCCTGCACAAAATCAGCTGGTGGATTTCTAAAAATTACAGGATTTATTTCATCTGTTGTTTCTGAAGTCAGCAACAATGCTGCTGAAATGTAGCCGAGTTTCTCAGTCATTTGATAACAAAAGAGGAAAAAAAAAAGGGATCAAACAGAGAGAAAAACAAAAGGCGGAAAGAAGAGGAGATTTCTGGGGAGCAGAATCCATTTGCTGACACATTTTTCACGGGCTCCGACTGGAGTGTGATGAGGAGATGTGTTCTCCTTTCTGCAGAGAAACGTTTTCCACTCCTCTCTGAATGGAAATGGGAAAAAGCCTCGTCTGGTGCCCCTTATTGCCTCCACTGCTGTGCCGCTTGCACCTCTCACGTAGTAGCCATCCATCACGGGATTGCAGAGGCGAGTCCCCTCCCCCTGCAGTCCTCAGCCATCACAGGGCAAAGGAGGTAGACAGCCGGGGAGAGGCAGCCAGGCATCTGCAGACCAGCCAATATGCGCCCCTCCCCCATACGGATCCCTTCTTTCTCTCATTCCTTTCATTTGCTTGATCTTTATGTACCCTGTCGTCCTCCCTTCTCTTCATGCCTGTGCATATTTTCTCCTTTACCTCCTATGTGCCTTTCCTCTCTTCCTTTGATTCCCTTTTTTACCCCATCAGATGCCATCATTCCCCTCCCTCCCTCCCTCCCTCCCTCTGCTCATTCATCTGGCAGATATCGCATTTCACCGACAGGCTCTGCAGAATCCGGTCTGTTCATCCAAAACTGTTACTACACACGTGCATGTCGAGCTCCACACAACCCGCACAAACCGTGCAGCCCATCTATTGCTCTCTGCTTCCAGCAGAAAGCAGTAGGAGTTTTAGGAGTTTTGGAGAGATGGAGAACGTAGAAACACTAAACCAAACATTTGTTTTGTTTTTGTGTTACATGGATGACATGTGATTTCTGAAAAAGTCACATTTTTGCACTTTTTGCCGCTCTTTTTCCTCACGACTCCTCTGTCACTGCGTGTCTGACTGCTTGCTTTGAACGTTGTGGATCAGTTTACCAGGTTTCTTTTTTAATACTAAAATTTTCTCGTGAGGCAGACACATGAAAATGTACTGTTGTCTTTTAAGACATGTCTCATCACAGAGGAAAGGCTAACACTGTATGTGTTTTTGCTAACAGATTAAATAAAGCATATGGTGAAGATGCAACAAAACAGAAGCTGACAATTATTTTGATTAGCTAGAAAATTACGACATCCGTGTAAGAAACATACTCATCAGTTTAAAATCTGACAACTTTTCCTTAAACCTTTTAAAAATGTATATATTCTTTTAGTATTTTGTCCATTTTCTTTTAGTCCTGACTTTTTGTGATGATAGATTATTGTAACAACCTGACATCTTTACACCTTTGAAATATAATGTGCTCCAACTCTAAAGAGAGAACTGAACTTTAAATATGGCTGCTGGCTGTTGCGTTGCCACCTGGCAGCTCTCGGGGGGGCCCAAACATTCAATTAGTCCCACTTCCTGTATCCCCCCCGCTCCCCTACATTCCTCTCTGTGCCTCCTCCTCCCTGGGGCTCACCCAGCTTCTTCAGGGAGCTGTAGCGGTTCATCTCAGGTTTCATGACGGCCTCGTAGGACGGCGGCAGCTGGGCCAGGTTGTGGAAGGAGTGGGAGAAAGACGGGTGGCTGCTGTTGTGCCTCATGGTGCCTCCCATGATGCTGCCGCCTCCAGCACCTCCCAGGCCCTTCCCAACGCCCGAGAGGAGGCCGGAAGAGAGCTGAGGGGTGTTGTTCATACGGGCTCCGCGTTCTGGAGAAAGACAGGAAAGCACCGACAGCAGGGAGAAGAACAAGGCAGTGAGAGGGAGACCAAGAAATCAAATACAAGCTCAATAAGAGGGGGGGGGGTCAAAGAAATAAGGAGATATTGAAGATGAAGAGCGGGAGAAAGGAAATGATGGAGAAACAAAAAAATTTGAAAAAGGAAGGCGAGAAGAATACAGCAATCTGTTTAGCTATGAGAGAACACAGGAAGTGTCTCTTAGCTCCATGGTGACCATCTATAAATACATCTCTGCTCTGTTCGTCCTCGGCTTCAATGCCAACATACCAGAAACATGTAAACACAAAGAAGAACAGCAACAGCTTCGGGAGGACTCCATGTGCGCACACACACACACACAAACATTCACATTTATGCAAAGCGCAAACGCAGCACATCGATCAGCCCAGGAACCACTCGTCTTATGTAAGACCGGCAGGGCTGGGGGGGGGGGGCACTGTAAACCGACACCGGTTACATCAGGAGGTGCACGGGCACATTCATATGTTCCAAACAAGCAAACAGGCGGCTCGCCGTGCGGCCCGACAGGGTCACAACAAGCAGGGACGGCGGCTCACATCGGGAGCCACAAACGCGTGCTGCTGAGGGGGGGGGGCGAGAGGGCAGGAAGGAAAAGCAGCAATTAAAGGCTGAACAACTGTGACTTTTTGCCGTTTCCTGCCTGTGACACAGACGATATCAAAGGCGAATCCGTTCGGGGTGATGATGGTTATGGGCTGCGATCCTGTTAGGATGACTGCGGGACACACACTGCTCATTGACCACTGACAGTAATGGGCAGTAATGGCCAGTGATGCCTCTGTTAAGAGCAACCCAGGGAACGCACCACATTGACTTCTGTACAGTGATTTACGCACACACATACATACACACACGGAAAAAGCAATGCTAGTTCAGGTTCTGAAGTCGTTATACATGACAGATAAAGGAAAAAAAACTGAGAAGTAAAAACACTGATAGAAACAAAGTAAGGACGTGTGAACATGGAGCTCAATTCCTGCTTAAATTAAACTACGTTAAGTTAAACTAAGAGCATTGTTGCTTTGTCATCCAACAGCTTTACATGGTCAAAAATGACAAAGCACAGATGAACTACAAGATGTCTCATGTCTTAAAAAAAAAAAAAAAAAATAGTCTAGTTTTATTGATACAGAGAATTAAAAATCAATTAGTGCTCCGTTAAAAAACGTAACTTCGTTTTTCAGCTGACAGGAATGTTTAACCTCTCAGTTTAACCAACTGTACTCTCAATAGGCTTTATTTGTTGGCTTCTTGTGTAATTCATTCCACGAGGGACACGTGTAGGAGTAAAAGCTCAGAATAACTGGCACTGAAACTTCAAAAGTTCACTGGAAATCACACAGAGCTCCATTATCATCGCATTTCCATGGCAACCTGGTTCAGATTGCTGTCATGGCCACGCTGAGCGCTGGGTGGAAGCCTTTAGGTTGCAGCGACTGTGGCCGGCTTTTGGGAGCTTCCTCACTAGCATTGCTTTTTGGGTTTTTTTTGGTGCAGCTCCTGGGAAAACAGACTGGTGTTGTGTGTCACAGAGATAAAGGAGAAGGAGAGGGACGGGCACAGTCAGAAGCAGGCTTGTAGTGGCAGTGGGGGGGGCAGGCCAGATGACTTTAAGCGCACACTCTTATGGAAGCTGTGTCATTTTCAACACGACTCCGGCACAAAGAGAGGATGTCTACATTTAAGCAAACTCCCGTGTTGACCCTGGCACAGCTGTGCAAAGAGCGCGGTGCGGCGGGCCGTCATACTGACAGAGACAGACAGACAGTGCAGTGGGAGGCTGAGAGTCCAGCCGGTTCTGGCCTGTGCTGGGCCCTGCTGCTGGCCCCGAGGCTTACCGATGGTAGCAGAGTGTTTGGGGCTGGAAGCAGACCCCTGCTGGTTAAAGGGGTGGTGCAAGTTCCCAGCTGCAAAGAGAGCAGAGCCAACAAACTGATGGACGACCACTCGAGAGGCACAAGAGGAGCGCGTCGACTCAGCATTTGTGTCAGTAAAGAGACAGAGAGGGACAGCAGAGGACAGAGAGGAAGAGAGACAGTCCCTCCAGGAATTATTTTTGCTTTTTGTTTGAATAAGACTTCATCGAATTGCTCTGCAAACCCATCGTGAATCCAGTGTGAGGGGGCCGTAATTGCATGTTACCGGCTGCATTTCATGCAGTCACCATGTCGACGTCCAGAATATAAATACAGAAATAAATTCAGCTTAAGAAAAGAGGACACTTCTGCTCTGATTTGATTTGAAGGCGTCACTTTGGTTGGTTTCTCTGTGCTACCTCGTTTCATTAAGTGGACATTTTTTAAAGCCATGTTCATCAGATTCTGTATTTGTCAAATAAAATTGACAAAAACTGACGGGTGAAATACAGCTTTGATGACAGAAATCTAATATAAATATAAATCCTGGAGAGAAAGTAATGAAAGACAGCAGAAGTAAAGAGAAAAGTGTTCTCATATGAATGTGAGCCACATGAGCACGAGAAACGTTTCAAACCCTAAAAAACATTTTGACAACCATTTAAAAATATCTACTTTCCATTTAATGACTCCTTTAAGAATAATATTACACCTTCTTGCCGTTTTAATTCAGACAGAAACATACGAGAGTTCATTCTTCATCTGAGGCATTTAAAAGTAAGAAATCCTTTCACAAATGAAGAAGTGTTTTTTTACTAAACTATCACCATGAGACAGAATGAACCACAAAGAAAAAAAATGGTTATGAATATTTAACAATGATTTGGTTTATAAACCAATTAAATGTCAATTCAAATGTTTCAATTTGAGTCCATAAAACATGAAGTGAGAAATTTTGGACTATAGAATAAGCAGCGATAACAACATCAGACATATTTTACTGTGTTTTTTCTGTAAAACTGCCGCTTCCGTAAACAATTCAGCCGCAGCAAATGTTTCCACCTGAGGTGTGAAGTGTGTTACTGGCACGGAGGCTGAAGTGAGATTCGATAGAGAAAAGAACAAGCCGTGATAATTACAATCCGTGTCAGTGGGGACACGGCAAGCAGCTCAGATTTAAAGGCTCGTTCAACCTGAGCGGCAGCCTCTGACGCCCCGCTCGGCCTGAGCGCACTTACTGCGGTTGTCCTTCAGCTGCAGGATGGGGGTGTAGAGGTTTTTGGAGGTCCGTCCGTCGGAGGTGGTCAGCACGGTGGCGTTGTTCCGCTCTCCCTGCTGCGCGGGGCTGGACTGGTGCCGCAGGATGTCCACCAGCGACCTGACGCAGAGAAACGGGGGCGGTGAAGAGAGAGGCGTTAAGATTAATACCGCTTCCGGTCCTGAAATCTGACGCTTTCCAGAAAAACCCGCAGTTTGATGGCATCATCTGCAGGGTTTTACATCCCCTGTTACGGTTATTCAGTTGCTCATGAATACGTCTCAAGGCCCATCTGCTGACTGCCTTTCACTCCTCTAAAACCTGCATTTAGGTCCACTTCCTCCACAAACCCTGACAAATAACACACTAGACGCCACTACAGCACACAGTAATTACCATATTCAGGAGCCCAGGAGGCCCAATCTGCTCCTGCTCGCTTTTCTCACACATGTGGAAAACAAACGGGGCCCAATTCACCACAAAGGTGCAGCCGTTCCCACAGTTAATTGTTTCTGCTGTCAGACTCTGAAGCAAGCCTGCAGAGGTGATGCAGGCATTCCAGCTGCCGGAGGAGGATGCAGATGTTGCAGGGCAGTACTGGAAATCTTATTATAAAGCCCCTTGATTTCTGGCCAACTGATTCAAAAGAAGTGTCTGAAAGTAGCTAATTTCATTACAATTAAAAGATATCCTTTGTCTCATGGTATGAATCTGATCAGTTAACCATAATAATAATAATCTGTAGTTGACAGGTGTAAGAAAAAACGTTAATTAGCCCTCCGATAAAGCCACAAGTAACAAAACAGCTCAAACAGATCTTTCTTTGTTTGGCGGCAGCAGCATCTGCAGCTTTGTGATGATGCTGGAGGAGGAGGAGGCGGGGGGGGCACCTCACCGAGCTCAGCATCTAGACTGTGACATGAAATTCTACTATTACTCCCACAGGCTTCATGTGAAGTTACAGCAGCTGTAGTTCGATTAATTTATTCTCTCAGAAATGAAAAAGCTACTTTTTGTCAGTTTGTTGTGGCCATTCTGCTTGCGATGCATTTAGGGACCATCAGTATGTTCAGCCTCAGTTTAAACTCCCTGAACAAGCAGTGAGCCGGTGCTGTGAACATTAGTGGGAGTGTGCTGAGCTCACCGGGGCATGTTGATGTCCCTGTTGCGTGGCCGACGGGCCACTTTGCTGAAGGCAACTCTCACGCCAACGGCCACCACCAGAGTGAAGGAAATCACCCCCCCGATCACGTACGCCGTGCTGCTTCCAAAAAAACTCAATTTGGTCAATAGGAACAGAAAGAAGGATCGGTGACGGTAAAGAGGAGCTCAGGACCTGATATTTGGGGGAAGTAGATGCAATATCATCTAATTACTCACAGAAATGCTTTAGAACAAAACCATTTTCCAACAGATTTAAAAACTGTGTTCAAAGCCAAACAAACAAAAAAGCAAAAGTGACCCGTTTCTCCCCCTTAAAGAAGGCTGAGTGGTCAGAGGTTGTGTGCTCCTCTGCCCCGGTCTGACCTGCTGCTCTGCTGCTGCAGCGTCTCGAAACCCGGGTCGGGCTTGTTGCCGGTGGGCACGGTGACGGTGACCTGCGGGTCGGCCCACACGGGGGACTTGTAGTTGTTGCAGGCCTCCTGGTCCAGCCGGTCCCTCTGGTGCTCGCAGCAGAAGCGATAGTGGCAGGTGCCGCAGCAGTAGATGTAACTCCCCTGGGAGCAGTTGAAGGTGCTGTCGAAGTGGCCCATCACGTCAAAGTAACCCCTGCCAACGGAGAAGAGCCGTGAGTGAGGCTGCTGGGAGCTCTGCGGCCCCTTTAAAGCCCACCCGCGCCTAACGGGACATCCTCTCCTTACACACGGGGAGGATGGGCGCCACATGAACACTTCTCAAGCATCTGCGTGCAAGTTTCTGATGTAAATGCTGTTCGCAGCGGCGGGACGCAGTTTGACAGCAGATTCAGACCTGATGACTCGTTTCCTAGCAACAGCGAGACGCCTCTCAGTGGGAAATGTAAGCTTTGATGAAAGCCGCTGTGAGATCAACACGTTCGACACTCGCGGATGAATTTCAAAAGCCAAAGAGGAGCAACAGCTTTAAACCTGGGAGCCGGAAACCTGCAGAGGCTCAGCTCTTACACCACTCATCTCATTTGTCCAAACAAAGAGGGTTCGCATCCCAAAAAACACATTTCCACATTCAAATCCCATCCCCGTGCTTATTGCTGGTGTGTCTGCTCACCTCTGTTATTTTCTAGATTGGGAGTGACTTTTTTCACCCCCTAGGATGCGACGGGCTGACGTGGACGGCACCACGATGCAGCTCGGCCTGCACATGACTGCTCTCTTTCAGCTGGCTGGAGTTTCACGTGTTTAAGCTTCTGTTTTTGTACTCTTGTTTTAGATGATTTATCCCTTCTTGTCCATCTGCCCCAGGTTAAACATGAGGTCAGTGTGTGGAGGTTTGGCCTTTTATCCATCCTGCATCATGTCCCGGATGTCGCAGTCATCTGGGTGACTGAGTACCAACATTCAGCGTCGGACATTTTCTAAACGTTTCTCTCAACATTTTCGTGTCACTTGCATCGCGCTCGATGAGTTTTAGGAATACAGTAGAAACTCTACTTACGATTGCCTAGACATACGAATTTTCCAACATCTGAAGTGAAATTTGATCAAATATTCGACTCGACACACGAAGTAAATTTCCAACATACCTCGGAGTCATAGAAAAAAAATATATATATAAAAATGTAATAAAAATAAATATGCTGAGTTAGTTTAAAGTTCACGTAATTAAAGTTAGACCCTTTTTATTGATTATGTCTTTATCATTTATTTCCTTTTACATCTCTCTTATATAATGCATTTGTTTTATTGCTCTGTGTACGGTAATTATCTGCAGTATTTATTAAGGGGTTATTGTAGGTTTTTGGGCTGTGGAACGAATTATAGAAATTACAGTGTATTCTGATGGGAATATTTGAAGCAACATACAAATATTTTAACATAGCAAGTAGGTCCCGGAACTAATTCAATTTGCATATAGAGGTTCAACTGTACCTGCAAACGTCCACATCCACCAGCTGTCTGGGAGGAGGAGCCACCTGGGCGGCGCCCAGCGGAGGCTTCAGGGCGTCGGCCGTCATGTTCCTTGGCAACATGGTCTGAGGGAGGGGCTTTGGGGGCAGTTCGGCCACGGCGGGGGGGTCGTCCGCGTCCTCCATCTCGGCTGCTTTTGGCGCCACTTTGGGTCCTCCAGGCAGCGGCGGCTTGTAGCCGGTCAGGAGGAACAGGGTGGCGCCGCTTTTCCCACTAGCGGAGCTCCTACCACGGTCTGCCTCCACGGTCAGCGTGGGGGCAGCCAGGCAGGAGAACAGCAGGAAGAGGGGGGGCCAAGAAAGCACCCCTCTGGAAACAGAAGGCTTCATTGTTCTGGCCTCAAGCTGCTTTTGAAATAAAAAATAAAAAAAGTACGCAAACAGTTCCTTATCGGGGTCTTTCTCTGAGAGGAGGCCTCTTCGCTTCTAAAAAGCTTCTACTTCAGTGGGATGGGAGATTCCCTCCTGGGCTCAGGTACATGGGTGTGCCCTGGAGTTCAGCAGCTGTTCCATGAACTGGTTTGGCATCGCACTCCTTCATCTGAATGTAAACATTTCTCTGAATACAAACCTCTCCATAAGCAGCTTGTGTAAACACTGAGGTCTTGAAGCGGTTTGAGGCCCTATATGAAGCGTGATGTAATAACCTGCTCTGGGTCACCTGCACACAGGCTCTGGTGGAGAGTTTATTTGATTACTAATCTTTTTAGGGTCCTTGGCCAAAATTCTGAATCTCTAATATTGGCAGTATTTTGACGGTGTCTGTAAACAATATGAGTTTGAGAGAACTGTAAACTCTAAATATCTGCAGAGGAGAGACTTCTATTTCTGGCAGAGCTGTTCTGAGAGCTGCGCTTGGCACGGTCGTTACGATTCGCCTAAGAAACTGCGGCGCGGAAAGTGTGGTCTGTAAACATTTAGCGCTGTGTGTAAACTTTGCGTCGTATGCTTGATGAGCCTGAGCAGATGCTCAGTGTTGTCGGGGAGTTCGGCACTTCTGTTGTCCTGTATGGGAGACCGATGGCTGACACAAAGCAAAGCTTCTGGAGTCAGATGATGATCTCGGCTTTGTTCGGTGAACCAGCTGAAGGGAAGTCTGTTTGGCACGAGCTTGAAGGGGGAACTTGCATCAAAGGTCTTACGGGAAGAGACTCGGTAAAGGTCAAGATGCTTAAAGTTTGGTTTAAATAATAGTGCGAGTTAAACGTTGGGGGCCATGAGTTTGACAAACTAACACAAAAGCTCCCCCAGAGGGGACGGGGACATCAGACGAGCAGGCAAAGGCATTCACAGAGGAGTCATCTGGAGCAGCGAGCTGGTGACCGAGCTCAGAAAGAGACTTCTGGACGGTTAGCGGGTCTGTGTGCGTACGATCCCCTCGCGCGAGTGTCTTTGCTCGGAGTTTAGCTTGGCCCAACAGAAGAGAACGAAGGAGGGCTTGGGCCCGGTTCGAGCAGGGCAGCGAGGTTCTGCCCGCAGAACAGACATGAAAATGTCCGGATTCATCCGTCAGCGCAGGGGGGAAAACGGGCCGAGGACGAGAGCTGCACGGATCAAAACCGCAGAGACAGAACGCCTCCCCTCGTCTGAAGGCGTCCTCACTGGTTCCCTGAATGCGTGTGCGCGCCGGCGTGAGGAGGAGGAGGAGGAGCTAAGCGGTCTGTATGGCTGGTGTTCGGTATGGCTTTAGGTTGGGTTTGCTTCTCTCTCTTTTCTTTCCAAATTTGGTCTCCTTTTAGCGAAAAACGGGACGGAGTTTCACGATTTCAGCAGAGGGCGCGGAAGAACGCAAAAGGTCAGCGGGGGCAGGCAAAAGGGGGCGACGGGCGGCAGGCCTGGAACGCAAACAGCTGGAAGAAGGAGATAGGCAAAGTGTCGACAGTGTTTCAGGGCGCGGGCTGCAGGGACGGAGCGCCTTTAAGCCTTTGATAGCAGCAGAAGTAGCGGCGGCGCCCGTCTATCGGCGCGGCGGCGGCTGGCATCGCCCGTCAGTCAAACGCCATCCCGCTGGAACGCTCGGACGGCATCGGGGCGCTATCACTGCTCGCCACGCGCGTCCCCCCTCGCATCAGCCGGAGGATTTGTTAGTAAAGCACTTTGAAGCAGTAATGCACTGATCATGGTCTGTTCCGGCGTCACGAGCAGCAAAGACTGAGCCGAGATTACGCATAGAAACGTTTAAGGTAGAGGCGATGCGACTAATGCAGGGAGGGGCGCAGGGGAGCGGAACAGCTGATCCTTAAGCCAGCAAACGGCGTGGAAATCAACTATGTGAGGATTTGGATTTACTTTTGTTTTTTTTGCTTATTTTTTTAACACAGTCAGGTAGGCTTCTGGATTTGGTCTCACGTAAAAAAAAAAAAGAAAGAAAGAAAAAAATCAGATGATAAGAGGTCTGAAACTTTGATCCAAAACAAAGAAAGTCCACTAGTGGGGAAGTGGTAGGAATGGCTGGTGTGGAGCCTGGGCTTTGGAAGCGGAGAGGCTGTGAAAACTCCTGCAGATGGTCCTCGTCAGACACCTCACTCCTCTCACAGGTTCACATCCAGCTGTTCAGTCCTTCACCTGAAAGAGAAGAAAAACACTTTTCTGAGAAAAGCTCCGACACCCCCAGTTTCTTTATATTTCAATTCAAAGCAGCCGGAGATGTCCAAAGACACGTTTTCCTTTGGAAGCTGGATGCTTCTTTAAGTCATTTGCAGTTCCTCTAGTTTATATTCAGAGTTTTTTTGTTTGTTTAAGCCACTCAACATTGACAGATGAGTCATTAAATCACAGTAAAGACCCCTAACTCAAGGGATGAGCCAGTGTCCTACAACAAAGCTGCAGTTTAATGAGGATCTTTAGGCTCTTTGTTAGCAGCAGCCTGTCTCAAATACACATCATTAGTTCCAATTTCTTTAGCTGATGTGTTGGAGCTTCTGCCAGGACAAACAGACTTTAAAAGGCTATTTTCTTCCAGGTTAAATTACATTTTTCGACACGTTATCACATTATTTGTACGCCAAGAAGAAAAAAAAACTGTGCAAAGACATCCACAAACACAAACAATTCCTCGACAGTCGCATTGCTCACAAAGAAAAGAATTAGATCAAATAAACGTTGCAGAAAGCTTGTTATATCGCACCGCTTTTGCCTGGATATTTCCCACCGAAACAAATCCACAAACAAAGCAGCAAAATGTAATTTCCAGGGAAAGATCTCCTGCAGGATGTTAGTTATTAGAAACTGTGTAACGCAGGCAGGAAGCACCGGGGTACATTTCTATATGCGCTTGCCTTGAGGGGCTTTAGGGGCAGCTTATAGAAACAGAAGCCTGCTCATGGGAACTGTCCATCCTTCCCTATAACACACACACACACACACACACACACACACATGAGAAACGGCAGCTGATGGAGGAGATCCGACTTTGTGGAGGACGAGCAGGCTACATGACGGATGCCATATGGACTCCTCTGACAGACGGACAGAGGAACGGGGATCACAGATGTGAGTGTGTCCTGTCTGTGGAGCGAGCCCCGCAGCGCTGCGAGAGGGAGGGGCCCCGCATCGCACTGCTGTCAAGAAAGCCTCATTTACTTCTCCTTAATTAATACCTACAGTGCTTTGGAGGTGGAAATGAGTTGCACGAAACAAGCGGCTTCTCAGACTTTATGAGGGAAATAAGAGATTCGGGCCCTGTAACCAAGACTGCAGGTCGATCCTCCGGAAAGTGACACAAATGGGCACAAAAGACACTCACTGGCTACTTTGTGCTGTTTTTCAACTGGGAAGACGCAGCTCAGCAGTGTTTCATGTGGATTCGTGTCCCTCTTACACTCCTCAGGTGCACAGATCAACATAAAACTCAGCCTATTTAAGCCTCGCTCTGCCTTCTCCTGCAGTCTCCGGCGGGTGACGGATGCGGGGACTGACGGGTGGATTCATCCACCCCGCGGTTGCAGTTGACGCTTTCTGTTTCTGGGACCCATCTGCTGCTCCCCAGAACAAACAAGAGAGCGGTAGGAGCTGTGGCCCCGGCAGCCGGACGTGAGCAGAGAGGGAAGCAAAAGCAGCAGGAAAAGAGAACAGACGAGTGACGATCAAAAGGAAAAGGAGAAAATGAGAACAGGACGTTTGGAGTGGAGGCTGGTGGGAACTGTGTCCTGAATCGCGGTCAGCTAAATAACTGGGTCCTTTCGGCTGGAAGGTTCTGGGCGCTCTGCTGCCCTGACAGCTTGGCTTCACATCAGTGTGCCTCCACCCTCCGGGGGCTTTTCCGACCCGCTTCCTCCGATGTCGTAATTAAGAAGCCCCTGCTGACGGAGAGCTGAACTTCCACTGGCTTTCTAGGCAGAGAGTGAATTAATTCGATAAATATTGTGAGTACGCTCACACAAAAGCAAGTGTTCGAATGTCAGGGTTAACCGGAGGAGGCCGGCACCACGCCGCTCATCCGAGTAAGGAGGCTCTTCCTTCCAGCTGGACCCTTTTGTTAAAAGGTTCTGCTCCCACTTATTCTGCATCGCAGATCCGATGTTATTTTACAAGGATTTGATAGAAAGCAAAAGCATCTGGAAACAGCTGCGGGGGCCGCCCACATGTGGTGCACGCCTGCAGCCGTCGGTGTGTCCCTGCGGGCGTGTGCTGGTTCCTGGTGAGCGTGGACCCTCTGTCCGTCTGCATGAGCCTCCGCCGGCCTCCTTCCTGCCGGCGGCAGGCTGTAACCGTGCATGCCACGCATCAGACACATCTAGAGCTCTAGGAGCAGTCTCTGCAAAGATGGCCGCCCGCAACCGGGGAGAGCAAACATTTGCCTCTGGAATATTCTGTCGAGCTGATGGATCAAGCGGCCCCGAAAAGCTTGGTCCTGTTCTTTTGTGCCTCGTTGTTTACGTTGTAATTTGGATGTGACCTCCTTCAGACTCCGCTGTGAGCGCTGTAACCTACAGATGTGGACGCTACATGTCAGCTACGAGCCTCCGCTGGCGCAGAGCTGTGACGTCTGTCTCACTTCAGGGAGGTAGACGTCGGATGAAATGTGACATGAGTGCTCAAACCGAGGTCGGAGGTCAGACATGCATCTGATTTGAAAAGGGGGCCAGGCTGGAAAAAGGAGCGTCAGACTTGTGCGGTTCAGGCTGTGATAGAAACAGTCGGTTTTGGGTCACAAATGGGCAGAAGCAGATGGACTCTGGCCATTTTGTCCTGCGGCGTGAATGGAGCCACTATGCACACAGCCGAAAAAAAACAAACAAGAATCGGTTTGTTGTCTGGAGATACTTCTGACGTGGGTCTGGTTGATCTCAAGTTTTAAAACCTAATTTTACAAATGGTGCCTGATTAGATCTCACTCATATAAGTGTTTTAGTATTCCACTAAAACTTAACTAAAAAGGAGAAATGCTGTACTGTACAGCCATTCGCACCCCTCTACGATAAAAACTCATTTACACAAATGAAAAGGTGAGAAGTGGGACTTCATGACTCCATCAGGAGGCTTGGAGCCGGCTTTGTGAGACTTCTGTGGAGGCTTTAGTCAGACCAGGACTTTGTTTGTAGCTCATTCTTTAGAGGTGCAAACATTATACAATAGACAACCTTCGATGTAAAACGCTTTAGCTACGCTGGACACTCTTCTCTTTATCTTCTGTTTAACGCGTTCTGAAAATCAGGCGTGGATTAATTTCGCTGGTGCTCAACGGAGAAACAGAACGGCTGCATCTGTGCTCGTCTGTAGTAAGTCACACAAACTGCACTGATCATGAAAACAGCCACTTCAAAAATGCAGTTATTTTAAGCACCGTGAGTTACAAAACCTGAGCGTGAGTAATCTCTCCTCTAGTGATTCAAACCCCGCGAAAACGCAGCGCCAGTTTGCTGACTATCTCCAATATTGTGCTTCGTTTACAAGGACCCCGACAACTTGTAGATCAGAGAGCGCTTGTGGAGCAGATGACCTGCGGTCCACGAGGGATTCAAGCTCTGGGAGCGACTCGGTGTTCACAGCGCCGTCACACCGACATTTTCCCGTCTGTATTCAAGCTGATTATGTGACGCAAACACAAATCAATACCAGAAGAGAAGTTCATACTTCGCTGCTGCCAACTAGACAACGACGGCTGTAATCTGTTAACAGCTGCTGAAAGTTTCACCTTTCGTCATCCTGACTGAATGTTTTTGGGCTTTCCTGTAGTCTGAGCTAGCCAAAACACAACTGATAACCGATGACAGAGCTGTGCTTGGAAACAGGAGGCTGGTGGAGCCTCGTGCTAGCCTGATGCTCACGTGCACATAAAGTCACAGTAGCAGCAAGCGGCCCCCCCACACACACGCACGCGCGCACACACACACACACTGACACACTCCATCCCTCCATCCATTCACCCCCACCCCCCGGTGGTGCGTGGGCTGAGTGTCTCTCTGAGAATAGCGCCACCGCGTTGGGGAAAAAAGAAAAGAGCGAAAAATAAGCCAATGGGGAAGAGGGGAGAAATTTCTGCTGTGATCTGGATTTTTTCGTATGTCCGTCTTTCTGCGAAGCAGGACACAAACGGTGTCAGTGACTCATGCTGGCCTGCGTCCATATGATCAGCGCCACTCAGCTGTCACCTCCGAGTCGTGCCTTTGCTTTCGGAGTTGATGAATCGAATTCACCAGCTTCCCACTCCGCTTTCCTCTTCCCTCCCGGCGCTTCCCCACTTCATTACCCCCATGCTTGACCCTTCGCTGCCTCCTCTCATCTCTACTCGAGCTTCCCGCCCCCCACCTCCACCCTCTGAAGCATGCTGGGAAAAGAGCCACAGCAGCAGCAGATGTGGACAGAGGCGAGGCCGGCAGTGTGCTGAACTCTGGCCATAAAGGTCACTGCACCGCCCTTGTGAGGCTCACCACCGCAGTGGTGGGATGAAACGGGGTTGAAAATGAAAATCCATTAATGTATCCTAGTTTTCAAAGGATACCATGACCAGTGGAGCCCCCCCCCCCCCCTCTACTAACTCTCTTCAGAGGGAAAAATCTGCAGCAACTGTTTTTTAGAATCTATTTACTTTGAATTTGATTAACCTGCTTTTTGGGACACACAATCAAAGCAAACTGAGCTCAGTGATATTTACGACTTTGTTTCATTGAATAATTCATGCATGGTCTAAATAATGCCATAAAAGGAACATACCCCCCCTGCCACCACCACCTTTTCTTTTTACTGCAGTGTGGGGTGAGCAGAAAGGAATCAAAAGACAAACATACTTAATGCTCGCTTTTGTCCTCAAGAGGAACCCACAACCAGATTAAATATTCAAATGCAGGTTATTTAAAATGCAGAAAACATGTTGCCTGCCCCCACCCAAGTGTTCCACCTCATTTATGAAGTGGAGGAAACATGTTTAACTGATGACTGAAAACATAAACCTTCCTCTCCAGGGGTTTCTTCAGCTGCGTTTTCCTGCGAAACTGGACATGCTGGACAGGAGTGGGTCACCTTTAGAGGACACCAGCCCGTCAGTGAACGGCATGGTGGAACCAGCTGAGCGAGCACCAGCTACTTCACACCTGACGAAGATCTGACGCCACAGGAGTCATCCTCC